TTTTCAAACTAAAACCGTCACAGTGCCCCCTAGTTTTCGCCCCTTCTTTTTTTTTTGAAAGAAAGCCTAGGTTGTTTTCTAGGTTGCATGGTAGACATATGACAACCACCTTCAGTAGTTGGCCATGTGGTTATCCAGATGGTCTTTAGAGTCCTTATTCCTTACGAGACTCCCTCCCAACCAACCACTTTCATTATTTCTCCCTGGCGCACCCCTACCCCCACAGTCCTACCTCAGTGTCTACCACTCAGGATTGTCACCTTCCAGACATCTTGTCAGGGGTGACCTGACTGGACAGCGGTTGTAGGCACCCACTGCCACCAAGGCTAAGCAGAACCCCACTTACCCCACTCAGCCCTGATTGAAGCATAGTCGGAACAGCCAGGTCGCATGGGTACTTCGGGCGCTAGGTATAGACGTCCTTCTGCAAGCCCCAGAGGTGGACCCATTCCTATCCCCCTAAGTTGTTTTATCGTTCGTTTGTATGTACTGCTGCTGTTCTATGTATGCCTATTACCAGTAGATGCACGCCCCCCTATCCACCCCTCTAACTATAGATGCCCCCCTAGACCCCTTTCGACTCGCATTATTATGGTTAGACCCTTGTTATTCTCATCGTTCTTGGTTATGTGCTATTTGTCGACCGGGAAGCAGGCCTAAGTCATCGGTACGTACTATAGAGTCGTATAGACGCCCCCTAAGAGAACCCCTGCTGCAAGATCCCCCATAGAATCCTCATCGCGATCAGCACCGGCCTAAGTCATCGGTACGTACTAGGCCCCACAACTGTTCCTCTGACCTCTATCCTCGCCTGGGCTTATTTCGGTTTATCCCCGAGGGAGGCCTTACCTCGGGACTCTCCTACCTAATCCCCCCCCTAATGCGACCCCCTAATCATCCTGTCTGCACCCCTCCCCTCCCAAAGCAGAGCCCCAAGTTCAACCAATTCACGTGATCTATACCTCCATAATATCCCTGCCTGTATCTCAGCTATCTCTGTGCAAGTATCTGTCCCTAACTCAAACCCACTGAGCTACCATGACAATTACCAGTAGTCTGTTCATGGGCTGTGATACACCAGGGGACAAGCGTGCAATCATCAGAACAATTTCCTCCTTGGACTAAGAACATCGGGCAAACCTCCCATAGCCTAATCCAACATACAACAACCGAGGACTGAACCCCTTGGGTGGTACAGGCAGTGTATGTAGTCCTTACCATGCGCCAACCCAAGGCGATGTAACAGTGGTGCAGCGGTCAGCGCTCGCCGGTGTACATGCGCAAGGCTGAGGAGTTTCGAACCCGCAACCTCAGAGCACAATGCGCATTTCCAAGCGGTGCTCTACCCACTGAGCTAATCGGCTGTTCTTTTAAAAAAAAGATAAAAAAAAGGAGGTGCAAGGGCATACTCACACTAGCACTCTCCCAAAATGAATCCGACTGTCATTACAGCGAGACCTGGATGTATCTGACTGGGATCATGTCCAGAGCTTAGTAGAAAAACTCCTCGTATGCGTATGCCCTGATCCTAGCCAAAGGCCAAGAAAGGTCAGCTGACAGGCCCTATCTCATGGGTTTACCAACTGAGCTATCCCGTTGTTTTTTTTTGTTTTTTTGGACAAGTTTCCAGAGCAGCAGTCGCGCTCTGCTGAGCTGGCAGGGTGGTTTTCACGGAAAAGCAACATAGAAACTGCATGGGCCTGGCTCCACTACACCACACTCAACATGAATTAGAATTTTAGAGTCTTTTGGACACCTTATGGGTGAGGTGCATTCCGCATTGTCCAGACAGCATCAAAAAACTTGTGGAGTGTTGTATAGTGGGGTGCGGTCCTATGTAACGAGCCCGATTGTGTCACAGTGCGGAACGCTCTTTCAATTGTAAGCCCACCAGCCCCACCCCCACCGAACCTCCACAGTCCCTGTTTCTATAGATTCTGCCCCCGTATTTGTCTTCAAATCCAATCTGGACTGTTTTTTTTTTTTTTTTTTTGGAGACTGGTTTAACTCTGCAGGGTGGCACGATTTGGGGATACTCTTATCACCCTGGGTAGCACTGCACAGTCTGGTACAGTCATGCTTTTTTTGAGTGTATAGCGAATATGACAACACACACACATGCACAGTTCTCCAATGATGTGACCACCCGGACTACCATCCTTATTGCTCACTACGCACAGCCTACTCTCTCTCTCTCTCTCTCTCTCTCTCTCTCTCTCTCTCTCTCTCTCTCTCTCTCACCCCTACACATTGACCACCGAAGTGTGTGATCGGCCGTCGCCAGGTAAGACAGCCTGTTCCCGTCCCTGTTCTTGTCCTCTGATCACCTCAGCATCAGCAGCCCTACTTCCTGCCTTTGCTACTTCAAAAGGAAATTTGCAAACTCCCGGATAAGAGAATCTTGAGATGCAAAACTGGAGAGTGGGCGAACAGCATTCCTATAACCTTGCTGTTCCTCACAGTACCTCTCCTCAAAATGAATCTGACTGTAATTACAGCGAGGCCTGGATGCATCTGACCGCAATCATGTCCAGAGCTTTGAAGAAAAAGTCCTAGTGTTAGTACACCCTCACTCAAGCAGAGTCTTTGGACCATCGTTGATAAATCTCATCGGCGGCTGTCGTTTCATTTCAGCCTCCCAAAAGATCTGAGGCCCACCCGAGGCCTCCCTATTTGCCCAACCGGCAGAGGCACTAGTAGTTTAAACCTTTTTGCTCTTTTTTTCACATCGCTGTCATGTCATCCGCCCAGCCGTGTCCCGCCAGCGCGGAAGCGCCAATATGGTCCCCTGACCCTCATCCCGCCTGCAGCACAGTGCCTCTACAGTCTCATCACCTGATGCCCGTCTAGCAGTGGCTCGGCCGTTCCTCGTTCGTCCTGTCACTGCATGTCGGGAGTGCTGAATCACTCGCTGAAGATGTAACTTATTACTTGGAAGTTGGAACTAACAGTGTGTGACAAAATGGGGACAACATTTATTAATTCATGAATAATGAATTGGTTAATGTCATTCGGGTTTGTCTTTTTAACATTTTGCCGCAATCTCTAGCCTTTAAATGGAAAAAGTCTCCGCTCATCATCTAGGTTTGACAAATCTATATTCATACATCAAGAACAGATGCTGGCTACGAATCCCCATTCGTCATGCTCTGGTCATTTCTGAATTTTCTGTTTCTTTTTTCTTTTCTTTTGTTTTCTTTTTTTTCTCTCTTTTCCCTTTTTTGCCTTTTTTTTCTTTCTTTTTTTTTCATTTTCTTTTTTTCCCCTTTTTTTCCTTATTTTTAAGGAAAAGTTCAAAAAACAGATACTGGCTTGCATCAGCCCGGTTCCATTCCAGCTGCAAGTCCAAAAATAGAATACATACTTTGACCCGCACAGTGCTTCCTTCCGTCTTGGCCAAAGGATCCTTGATCACCCATGGAGAGGATTGACTGGCAGATAGGCTGAAGCACTGGATCCGAATGCTTAGCAAACTGAGGCTGTGGTGAGATAGTCAGAGAAAGATGAAAACAAGAAACCCTGTGGCCCGAGTGAATGGCCCTAGACGGAGTTGCATTTTCTTCGTTTATTGAGTAGAGTGGCGAGGACGAATGTCTGATAGGGGGCGGAACCGATTGCGCTCCACAATTATGTGCTGTCCCCATTTCTGATTTTCCGCGTCAACGTGAGGTGAGGCTGTCAATCGGTGCAAGTTCGCCGTCTGCTAGCCAGGTGCGAGGAGAAAACTCCCCTGATCGCTTACTGAAGAGCTCCAGGTGAGACCCCCTCCACCCTTTAATATTTACCCTGTTACACCTGATTTCTGCTTCCGCCAGGTCTATCTGTTCTTGCCATGCAGCGTCCTTGTCTGTTTCTTATCCCTGTATCGTCCCAAAGGACCTCCATTTCCGGATCGTCCAAAGAGTGGCCTTCCTGATCATTAACGCTGTATCTGGACTGAAAGTTGCCCCAAATACAGCTATGATGACCAGGCGTTTCATTCAGGTGAAGACGGTGGGGTACATCTACAGCTATGGCGCTCAGCGCCTGTTGACTACTGAGTTACTGCTCTCTCTCTCTCTCTCTCTCTCTCTCTCTCTCTCTCTCTCTCTCTCTC